GACTCCAAACTGTTGACTAAGTAGCTTAGATGACTATTCGATATTGAACTTTTTTATTCTAATCGTGAGCAGATGAGTTTCTTATAAGTTTTGACAGCTATTTCCGGCACCGATGCCGCAAGACTGCAGCTGCAGCCGTTCGTCTTCAGTGGGCTTAGTGGCGGCACAATGAACACACCACTGAGTTTCTATTTATTTGCCTTGCAGGTGTGGTTTACTTCTGAGCCTTATTTTTCAAAGTACAACGGCTAGTTTTTATTGCTGCTACCGGGCCCACTGGAAAACTTATCCCCTGGTTCTTCATTGTAAGCACTGTTTAGAGCTTGTTTGGCACTTCTGATGCGAAGCGGAAATGTCAAAATGAGCCCCGGCCCTGATGAAGACACTCAAATTCTTCCTAAACATATCCTTCGAGGGCAAACGCAATTGTCTTCTGATATAACCAAAATAAAAGGCAATCGGGCAGATCTTCCAAATAAACTCGACAGTTTCAAGTTCCGCCTTGCTGGTATTGACTCTAGCTTATCTCAACTGTCTAGGCTTGATGACATGCAAAAATGTCTAGAGGATAAAATTACCGCTCTTGAATTTGCCTTCGCCCAACTAACTGATAAAAACGATGACCTGGAAAATCGTTCTCGTAGGACCAATCTGGTTTTGTGCGGCTTAGAGGAAGATGAAGATGAATCACTGGCTTCCTTACTGAACAGGGTCACTGATTACTGTCTTCAAAGCTTTCTGTCACCAGCGAAAGTAATGAGTCCTGTCATTGTCTTGGTTCGAACAATGAGGGCAAAATTAGACCTAATATTTCAGGGTTTTTGACTCCCCACACAAAATTCTAATTCTTAAAAATGCTCGGAACTTAAAAGGCACCTACTTGTTCATCAACAAGGACTTCACTTCATATCCTTAACATCCGTTGGCAGCTCTGGCCTAGTACGGCCGGCCTTAGATGCACTTGTCACTAGGTCTTTAACATCCAGCACACATAAGATGAGTCTAACAAATGCATCGTAAGAGCGGCCTGTCCAGTTTTTTGTGCACCCTAGGATGTCCCCGACGTGGCTGTCATCCCTGCAACTTGGCTCAACGAGCACGTTTGAAGTGACGTAGTGTTTCCTGACGGCTTAAAAGCTTTTCTTAAGTTTCGACCATCAATAGGTAGCGGTGTTGAAGCTGAAGTGACAAGCTGCATACCCTCGTGTAAGCTGCACTAATGACGCTGTGTTGATCTGGGCAAAGCTTTGTTTTTTATCTCTGTAAATTATAGTGGAGGCGTTTTACCTTCGAGCTAACTGCGATGTTTCCCATTTATCGGCTCGACATGAATCCCCTTACATACTTTCGAAGTTCTACTCGCGCGCAATACTCGCTGGTGATTTTAATTTACCACACATTGTTTGGAATGATATGAAGCCTCTGCGGGGGTGTCCGCAATCGCATTTCTTGATTGAGATCGCTTTTTCATGTAACCTGACGCAATTCGCTTGTAGCTTCGCGCGTGTTAGTAATGCAACTGAAAGCTTTCGGGATCTTCTCTTTGTCTCTCCTAAGATCGCGCGAGAAGGCGCCAGCTGCGAAATTGTTGAAGGTGTTTCTGACCACTCGCTTGGTTTTTGCACTCTCCCGCTTGCTTGTCAGCAACTGGAGACCGTTGGCTTAGCGAGGTTTCATGACTTCAATGCTGTGAATGATGTTGACATCCCTTGTACTTTGGCAGAGAGGTTTCCCGAATTTTACTGTTTGTTTAAAACGGCTAGCAGTACCACGCATGCCTTGTGGTTGCGGTTTGAAGGACTGGTTGATGACTGCATCCAGAGGTACGTTCGAATTTAAGTGAAAAGAGAAAAAAATATATAATCCATAAATTACTCGTGATATCCTTCACCTGTAACGCAACTACGTCGAGCTCACCACTTTCCTAACACGAAGAATACTTATTTCATACCTATTCCTCGCAGGAAGTTCAAGGCTTCAGTGATAAACGCGAAATACATTTATTTAAACTTTACTTTTGCTCATCTATTTGCGTAGCATCTCCCGAAATTTCTGGAGGTTTCTGAAACGAAATAAATCAACTTTCGTGAATATGACTGTGCAACTGGAGCTATAAATAAGAAGCAGCTTACTTCTAACGCTTTTAATTACTATTTTTTCTATATGCATGGCAGGAAAGGATATAATTTCGGATTATGAGGCTTCCCCCATAGTATAACGGACATTAACATTTCTGAAGATGGTGTTTTTGCGGAACTCCTTATTCTAGACATCAGGAAGCGCTGCGGCCCCAACAAATTTTCTATTTTTTTTTTCTTTTAGGTAGGCTGAATGGTCGCTTAAATTTTCGCACTTGAATTACTTTCAACGACTTAGCACAAGTGACATGCCAAGTGCCAAGAGTGGAAAACAACAGGAGCGTCATCAATATTTATATGAGGCGACAACCACTATTTCGAAAACTATCGATCCATTTCATTTATGTGAACGGCTAGTAAAGTGAAAGAGCACTTCATTTTCAATTATTTAATTGTGTTTTTATACAAAGATTTTTTTTTTCAAATTAACTGCATATATCTAGATGTGGTATTAAGCAATTGCGACACAACTAGTACTCACGATACTTGAATTTGCGGCTGTGATAGATGCTCGCGCTCAGACGGACGCGATATTTTTAGATTTGCTAAAGCTTCCCATCGCGTATCTAATAAAATATTGTTACATACGTTCAGCTGAGTGATCTGTAATGGGAATATAGTACGTTGGCTGGACTTTTATCAGACTCATCGACGGCAGTATGTGACTGTTGGTGGTGATTTTTTCACTTGAACTATCTAAATTATCGGGCTTACCTCAAGGATTCGTCCTGGGACTGCCCTTCTTTTTAACCTTCGTCAATCAAATCAGATCAAATCAAGTTTATTTGTTGTCACATTTTAGATGACAAAAGGGACTTGGACAGAAAGCTGCTAAAGACCAGCTTGACAAAGGTCCCAGCCCCCGTGCAGTTCGCGACAGTTTCTAACCCAATTTAACAACTAAAATTTGGACTACAACTACACAGTGTATAGAGACGAGTACAGACATATGCAAAAGCCGGATTTATACAATACTATATTTATTGCAAATATATAGACGAAAAATACACAAGCCAGTGCAAGAAAAACTCGACTAATTAAAGCAATGATGCAATCGTACATGAAAAAATACATCTTGTTCATCACGAAAAATATCAGCAGTATTCAAAAATAGCATATAGAAGTAAGTTCTTTTATATCCCTATGTGATAGTGATTCAAAATGTCGACCCTTTCTGTACAAACTATTTAACATTGTGGACAATCTAAAAATAAAGCGTCTGATTTAGGTAATTTGTACGCGTTGGGCGAATCATCCAGAAATTATTTTGTCTTAGGTTGCGTAGGATGGTGCGATGTTTTAGGTTGGCGAGTTTAATAAAATGAACATTATTGTGCTGAAGAGCCCTGTGATACGTTGACAGAAGCTTGTAAGCACATAGTTGTTCGACGGTTTTGACATTTAGGGATTTAAATAGTGATTTAGTGAGATGAAGAAATGGAGTTCCTGAAATTGCACTTACTGCCTTCTTTTGTAATAGATGCAACCCATTCAAATTACTTTTTTTCTGGTTTCATTGATTTCAAGATAAAAAAATCCTATCCATGCTAAATCGCGTTTTTCGCTGACGATTGTGACTTCTTCTCTACTGTAAACACACTGTAAGATCCCTTAGAGCTGACCCACTTTCTATATTTAATTATTTTTTTGTGTTTAAAATCGAATAAGGTATTAAACTGATAAAAAGAAGTGCGTTCAAATGTCTGTGACGCAAAGATGTTCACCACTATATTTTACATAGTCCATTAATGCCGACCCACCTGTGTCGAGTATACTTTTTTGATATGTTGGTTTTTAATTACTCTTGACAACCTGGAACGTACATGTAAACTTTATCGCCCAGAAAGCTTTGCAGAAACTGTGGCTTCTAAAATGCAACCTTTGTCATTGTACGATTGAAACAACGTCGTTGGTTTAAAGCTTTATAATCAGGCCTATGCAAGAATATGCTGACGCTTCATGGGATGCCCACAAGTTGTCTTCTGACGTCCTCAAGGCTGAGCAAACAAGAGACATTACGGGTTGTGTACAATTGATACACGACCGCAGGCCGGTACGAAACTCATCCAGATCCAAACGGGCAAGGGTGGGGATTGAATTCGAATTCCCTGGGTTCTGCAGAGCGAGCTTTCGCTCAACGTGCACGGAGCCGGTGTGCGCTAGCCCACTCAGCTACCAATCCTCCTCCCAAAATCTAAGCATAGTGCTTAACATCTAGACATAGACCGGTCTGAATGTTTTAGGAAACGTTTAAACAAAAGGTGGCTGCCTCAAAGAAAACATATTTAATGTTAATCTGCTTCAAATTATGACGTCAATACCTCTACCGTTTTGAGGATCCAAATGTATATCTTGCCCAGAAATGTCACTCCAGGTAGTTATATTATTTAGCTTAAATGTGTTAGTGATCCTGTGGCTACTTCTTAGAGCTTTAACGAATATTTTAGTTTGTTGTTATATTGATAACTGCACGGATCCTATTTTTCGTTCAAATAGTTAAGTACTTCGTTAACAAATATCCAAGTTAGTGTTCCCGGTGTACACAGTTTGCTTTTTTAACCTTGACTGCAAAAAGTGATCACACCCAAATGATATTCCGCATTATTTTTGCATCGATCTTTAGGGTGGCCATTCAGTTACTTAGTTATGAATATAATGCAATCAAATGCAAAGGTGCAAGCGAGCTGGACAAGAATGACGAAAATAATCCCTGGAGAGGGGGAACAAGATGGATACAGGACAAACACAAATCTCTAAACACAGCTAGGTGACTGGTGCGCGACCGAAAAAATCCACCTGATCCGGGTATCGAACCTGGGACCTCTCTATTTCCTGTGGAGCACTCTACCAACTGAGTCTAAACCCTGGTTAGCTTAGTTGGTAGAGCGCTCCACTAAAAATGGAGAGGTCCCGGATTCGATACCCGGAGCAGGCAGATTTTTTCGGTCGCGCACCGGTCACCTAGTTTATGTTTGTCCTTCGTTTGTCTTGTTCCCCTTCTCCAGGGATTATTTTCGTCATTTGTGAGTTACTTCGCTTTTATTTTCCAGAAGTCTCTCTCCTGCGGAGCGGTACCTAGACTTTGGAAATCAGCAAGCATAATTCCTATGCACAAACGGGGTAACTAACAGAGTCTTGATAATTATAGACCAATTTCTCTTACGTCCTTATCCAGTAAACTTACCAAACACATAGAACATAAACATATTTCCGAGTATCTTGAAAGCATCCATAAAGACCCTAAGAAGTATTAACAATAAAAAACGGAAACAGTTTTTTTGATTGTTCCTTCGCCTCCGGGTTACCATGAATGTCATTCACCAGCTCACCTGCGTTTTTTACCTTTCTTCAGATCTTGAAGAAATTAATTTCCCCCTCTTTTGCGGCATTGCTTTCGCCGACATTTTTCAACCACTACTCAACTTCTGGAATTCCTTCCTGACATCACTTGATTTTTGGATAAAAGAGTGCAAGCTACCGCCAATTTCATTGACTACTCGAAGGCTTTTGATAAAGTATCGCACACCAAGTTACTTTTAATGTTATAATCCATCCTTAAGAATACCCTTTCACTAGACTGGATTTCTCATTACCTTATAATTAAAGGTCGAACATTCTTTCATTTGCGGATGCCGTCCCTTGAGAGGTTCCGGTTATTTCGAACATGCCGCAAGGATTGGTGTGAGGTTCTTTTTATTTATTTTACATATTAGTGATTTTGTAGAAATCATACCGGTTAAATGTGTCTTTATGCTGATGACTACGTTCTGTACAATGACGTAACATCCATTAACGATCAGCTGTTACTTAACGAATATTTGGTGATTTCTTGATTAGATCAAAAATGCCAAATGGATTTAACATATCATAGACTGTATTCATGATATTTAGAAATAAAAAAATCGCACCTTGTATTCTAGCATTGATAATGCACAGTGCGCCCCAAACTTAACGCCGCCACTCGAACGCCCGACTTTCGCGGAGCCGCGCTATCCTGGCGGCAGCCGTTTCAACTAGTCGGTCACGTGAAGGCCATTCTTAATCTCCGGACCGGGGGAAGGGGGGTAGTAGGGCCGCCGCTCAGGTCGCCTGACTGCGAATCAGAAACTCATATCGTTAGACTCGATTTTTTTTTCTGCGCTTTGTTTGCACCTTTAAGATTGATAACAAAGACGATTTGATAATGCTTCGTAGAGGAGAAAGTTTGAAGGCGCTGCTAAAATGCAAAAAATGCGCACAAAAAATGCGATTTCAACGATATGAGTCTGTGATTCGCAGAGTCAGGCGCCCTTAGCGGCGGCCCTGCTATCTCCCCTTCCCCCGGTCCGGAGATTGGGAATGGCCTGCACGTGACAGACTACTAGTTGAAACGGCTGCCACCAGGATAGCGCCGCTCCGCGAAAGTCGGGCGTTCGAGTGGCGGCGTTAAGTTTGCGGCGCACTATACTTTTAAACGAAGTTGATGAGTTTAAATACATAGGGGTTTTTACGCCCAATCTTAATTGGGATAGACGTGCCGACTTTATCTGCTCCCGCACCCTTCAGAAATTGGGATATGCCGAGCGGTTCCAGCCCAAAAGATGACAATTCGCATTGTCATCTTTTGGGCTCGAACCACTGTGTTGGAGGCGAAAGATAGATCGACTCAAAATGTTGTGCAGAATTATCAGTAAAGACTGCGGCAACGAGAGTACACCTAATTTCCTACTAAGACACGCACCAGACTATCTCATCCATGCCTTATTGTTCCTTTTCAGTGCCCTATAAATCGTTTTTAAAATTACATTTTTTTCGAGAACTATTGATGACTGGAATAAAATTGACGGACCGATACATACTCTTTCTACTCATGATTGTTTTAGCGCGGTGTACAATATTTCTTTCCCTTAATGCATGTCGTTTTAAAAAAACGATTCTCAATGCCTTTTTGTTTTACTTTTTTTTGTATATTTATTTTTTAGCAGTTCAAGTGTATGAATTTTTCATGTATATGTGTTTTCCTGCAATTACCTCCTGTAAGGTCGCAGTATCCACAAATAAATAAAATCAAGTTAAACTTACAAGAGCTTTGGTGCAAATTTGTTCTTAAGAAGCCCATTCGTGCTGTATTTTTCAGTGCGGTTTTAATAGGCAAACTCCATGTTAGCTCTCCGGTAATTGTTATTCCTAGATATTTTTCAGAAGGCACCTGTTCTACGCTGGTTGAGTCCAGTGTATACTTTTGCTTTGTGAAGATAGATTTATAGGTAAACGTAATTACTTTTGTTTTTCAGGCGTTAATCTTTATTTGCCATGGTTTGCACCAGCTTGAAATGTTATCAAGATATGATCGTGCAAAAGAGAAATCATCAAAATTTATAATCGGGCGGTATATGCCGCAGTCATTCGCGAACAACCCTATAGATGAAGTAACAGAGCATGGTAGGTTGTTTACGTATAGTGGGAAATGTTGCGCGCCTAAAACACTACACTTGGAGGCCCCTGATTGAACTAGTATGGGTGAAAAGATAAATATGTACAGAATACTCACGATCCAGAAACAAAATTAGGCGATCCATTCAATTACTTCTTATTCAAGATTGAGCTGCAAGAGTTTTTTTAAAGTAAACTTTCGTGAGGTACCCCAATGCCTTGGCGAAGTCTATGAAAAGCATAAACTGAAATTGTCGGCTTGAAATGTTCATGGGGGTCAAGGACGAAGCCATCAAGTTGAGATTCCCAGGAGAGGAGTTTGCGGAAACTTTGTTAACTTTAATGCAGGTGTCTATTTTGAACGAGGTAGTTAATTAGTTCAGGGTAGATAACATGCTTTATAAGTTTACAAGGTGTGCGAGTGATATAGAAATTTAATTTGATGCCAGATTTTCGCTACCAGATGAAAAGATTCGCATAATATTACCAATTTTTCAATCTTGTAAAATGTCTGATGTTATAATCGAAGCGTCGACCAAGTGTGCTAGTATTATTGAAAGAAATATATTTGGTTATGAGTAAACAACTTGGTGAAATACTGGGGCTACCTGGTATTGAGTTATCGTGTGAACTGTGAATGACTTTGGCCACCCCGGAGAAAGTGAAGCCAACATCTTTCATTGTATTCGCGGAGCTATAGAATGAGGGAAGAGGAAATGTTTCGTGTGTAAAGAAAAAACAAAAAAAGTCATTTAAAATAGATTTCGTTTCACCACACGTTGACTCTTCTCCACTGTCATCTGTTAGTTTTTCTAACTTCGCTGCACCTTTGGGTGCTATTGCCACGAATGACAATACAGGAGGCGACGAATGACTGACGGAAACTAAACGTTCAATTGGGCGAACGAGTGCCCCAAACAAAATAGAAGAAGGCTAGAGTCGCAGGCGTCGATGGTGGCGTAAAAGCTGGATCGAGGGCAGGGCAAGGCATCCTTGGGAGCCTAGAACATTCTATGTCGTTCGTTCTGGAAGTATACACTCTAAAAAGGAACAAGCTACACGGCTCTTTAAAGTTCTAGCTTTTCTAGTTAAATAAAAGAAAACGACAAGCGCTACGGGATTCGAATGCCTCTAACACTGTGGGAGCCAAGCGCGCTGCCTTCTTGGATAGCTGCGCACGCGGCATAGCCGCATGCGCAGCTAGCCAAGTACGTCAACGTATATCAAGATCATATCAGCATTGTGTGTTTAGCAGTTCCGTCAGCCCGTTCGTTTGCGGGTGGTACGCAGTGGTTCAACGGTGGCTTGTACGTGTGGCTGAGTAGGAGAATGTTTTGCATCAGTGGTGCCAAGAACGACGACCCTAGACCTATGATCAGCACTTCGGGAGCACCCTGCCAGAGGACGATGAATTCAACAAAAAGCTAGGTAACTTCAACAGCAGTCCACAACGAAAGAATTTTCGTCTCGGCGTACCGTGTGAGACAATTTCTTGCGACGATTATTCAGCTGTGCCGCATTGTCGACGGTGGGAAGTGACCGAGCAAATCGATTCCAATCTGCTGGAATGGCACAGTTGAGGAAGCAATCGGTTGCGAAGTACGGCTGACTTTGTCGGTGGTCACCTGCGTCACTGACACTTGTGTCGCAATCGGACATAGATATGAACGGTCTTCGGGAGCTTGGGCCAGTATTACTTTACACAAAGTCTGGCTAGTGTTCTTCTGTAGCTCAAGTCTCCAGCCATTGGGCCATCATGGCATGCTTGAAATTCCTCTTCACGAAGATTTTTGTAAATCACCAGAAGCAGCGCTGAATTGCTGGCCCCGAAGTTATTTTTGTAGAGCGCACCCTTAGGTATGACGGAGGTTGATAGCACGCTGGTAAAGACATGAGGCAGTACATAGTCACGACGTTCTACAAGCTCAAACACTGCACGGAGTTCCGCGTCGTTCCACTGAAGTTCTTGAATGTCCTGGCGATTCAGTGCGCCAATAAGCTCCTTGTCATCGTCGTCGTTGGTAAAAGTTGAATCTGGCTCGATGGGTGCGCTTACCAGACTGTCGGCGTCGATGTACTTGCGGCAGCATTTGTACACGATGTTCATATCAAAATCATACAGTCGGAAACTTCAGCGACCTAGCCGTCCAGAAGTATATTTTAAGCTTCCGAGCAAGCAGAGCGAATGAAGGACTATGACAACGCGGAAAGGACTTTGGTACAGGTAGGATCGGAACCTACAAACATTTACAAAGAAAAGCAAACGGGTTTATTTATTTATTTTAATCTGTCTTTACTGGATATAACGGTAAACTTTGTAACCTCGACCTTAACACAAGCGTCTTGGAACCCCTACTCATAACTGTAGCGGGAATTCTTGACCTCTCGCTGAACCTTGACAGGAAAAAAGAAGCGGTCTGATAATATGCCTGACGACTTCTTAAAACGGTATGCTGAATGAATGGGTAAATATTTGTAGATCATTTTAACAAGTATCTTAGCTCATGTCAGGGGCACATTGAA